TGAGCCCATCGTTTCAGAGAGCGGAGGGGCGCGGCACAGGTGTGGTTTGGAGTGCGGTAAGGAATGGGTGTGTTAATGAGTACAGCTCTCCATCACCACATGGCTGTCATGTGGAGGCACCCTCAGAGGGTGAAGGGCCTCAGGTGGAGCAACTCAGATACAAACAACTTCCCTCGCCGCCCGCCTTGTCAACGAGCATGCACCCCTCACCCCGCACCCCCGTACCTCGCGTTCCCCGTGGGGGTGTGGCTAGCGAGCACCTGCTAGGGCTCTTTGTGCTCCTCTCAAGGTTGTATTCAGAGCTATCCAGGCCACCCACCTGCCCCATGGTCCCAGTGCCAAGAGGATTGGAAAACTCTCATAAAAGAAAAGAATCACATCACAGATGCCTTCTCTCTCTGGCCCCTCCCACCATGCCTCATGGCTTCTGAGCAGAGCACAGTGGATGGTGGCACCCCCTCCTAGAGTCCCCTGCTGCCTGAGGCCTATCCAGCCAACGTGGGCCCTCCCTGATTCTCCCTGGCTTCCTGGCCACTGCACCACATGGGCACACCAAGTGGTTTATGGCCAGCGGATAACTGGAGCGATGGCTTTCCATCTCTAAAAATGTGCCTATTCTGACCCCGAGGAATGTTGGTGTTGTCTGGGATGAGAAGAACTGGGGTTGGGTATGACCTGTCCGTCATGGGAATCCTCTCTGGATTCTCTCTTCTAGGCCTTCTGGGACAGAGGCTGGTTGAGGCTGCAAAGCCAGAAGGGGTACTTTGAGGGCAGGACACTCCCAGGCTGGGGAACTCCAGCATGGAGGACTGTTTTCTGATGGCCCCTGGGGATTTTTGCTGAGTGCACATACCTGGGTGAGAGGGCCGCCATCCCAGCATCCTTCACCGGAGGTCCTCGCAGCCAGGTGTGCCGGAGGGTTTAGGATGCATCAGAGCAGGGCTGAGCACTGACCTCCCGGAAGCTCTCAGTCTGTTAGGGGCAGAGGGAAATACCTTCCGTGTCCAGGCCGCATCGTGTTCACTCCCGCCTGTTTGGCACAGAGCGTCCATTGGCGGAATGGAAATAAAGAGTCAGTTGGGTTCCTGTGAATCTCTGGTTACAAAACCGGCGGAGGACCAGATCTGCCCAGCTACAGTGTGCAGGCCTTTCGCAGCGTGGTCCAGGCTGGCATGAATTTAGAAGACGCCTTCAGTGGGGGAGGGCTCTGTTGTAAGCCAACATTTTCGGTTCAGCAGGAAAACAGAAATATTCATATTAAGTTGAATGAAATTGACCCAACAACATCACAATGATGTAGGGCGGTTTTACCACAAAATGAATTTTGTCACCCAACTTGTAAAGGTCTGACACATTTCAGAGACGATTTTGGAACAATACATATCCTTTGTTGTTGTTAATCCTCACCCAAGGATGTTTTTCCATTGATTTTCAGAGGGAGTGGGAGGGAGGGAAAGAGACACACAGAGAGAGAAACGTAGATCTGAGAGAGACACAGCCATTGGTTGCCTCCCACACAGGCCCGGACCAGGGCGGTGCATTGAGCCTGGAACCCAGGTGCCTGCCCTTGACTGGAGTCAAACCCGGGACCCTTCAGTCTGCAGGCCCACACTCTGTCCACTAAGCCAAACTGGCCAGGACGGCACATATTCTTTTGTTGACGTGTGTGAAATGGTCATGTTTGCATGGAGACATTCCATGAGAGAAAGAGGAAAACGTGTGGTCTAAAGGGGACAAAGTCTGTCCAGTGAAACAGAACAATGACCTTAGCTGTTGAACTTAACCACGATGTTGACACCCTCTTCTAGGGGCCAGAATGATCTGGGAAGATCATGTGACCCGCAGACCTCACCTGACAGGGAGTGCTGGGGACGTGTGGTGGAAACTATTTCTGAGCTTCCAGAAGTTATTTTAAGTTTCCGACTGGCCTCCTCTGTGTTAGGGTTCAAGGGAAAGAAATCCTGTGGTTGTTTGGCGAGTCAGTGACCAGCACACATTTTACCTGCTGACTACCTCCACCCCATTCTGCTGGGAGGACATAACCAGCCTCTTCTTATCTGGTTTGTTCTCATGGAACCAGAGGGTTCTCCTTGTCTGGTCAAGTGAAACTTTTAAAAAATGGAACTTTTGCAAATGACAACAGATAGATAGATATGAGCTTCTTAGGCTCTCTCTACACAGCATTGCCATGGGGCACACTCCTGGGCTTTGTCCGTGTGATGGGCACTGAGAAGCAATCAGATGGTAAAAGCGATATTTGCTATCAACCTATACACAGGGTTGAAATTAATCCATCAGAGACTATTAGAGCTGGGAGAAATTTTAAGGTCAAACCCTTCCATTCTCCTAGGACAGCGGTCGACAAACTCATTAGTCAACAGAACCAAATATCAACAGGACAACGATTTAAATTTCTTTTGAGAGCCAATTTTTTAAACTTAAACTTCTAATGCTACTTCTTCAAAATAGACTTGCCCAGGTCGTGGTATTCTGTGGAAGAGCCACACTCAAGAGGCCAAAGAGCCTCATGTGACTCATGAGCTGCAGTTCGCCAACCATTTTTTTTCCAGAGACTGCTACTTATATTCCTTATATTCCTCATTTTTTCTTCAATGCATTACCATATTTACCTCATGTAACTATTTAGCAATGTGTGTGCATGTGAGAGAGAGATTGGTTTTGGTGTTTTATTAAATGTCCTTGTCTCTCATAAAACAACAAGAATGGATATAAATATATACATAGATATATACATAAATATTTATTGAAAAATTATAAATGAACGACTATGTGGAATGTGATTTCATTTAAATGTACGAAGTGAAAATTTTTGGTGTCAAATGAAGAAGAAAGGTGATGATGTAAGATATGAGAGAATTTGTGAATGGATGATATCAACTCAATATAACATAGTGACCTAAATATTGTTTATTTGGCCTTTGATTTTTATTACTTGTTTAAATCTGAAATCATTAAACTTAGACATTATAAAAACCTAAAGTTGAGTAGGGTCATTGTTTTTCAGTTTAAGTTGGAGTAATTAGTACCAGAAAGAAATGAAAGGTTATTAAAAGTTAAAAATACATCAGGAAATGATTAAAATGTCATTACTTACTATTTTACAGTTAAAATCCACATATTTCCAAAAGTATTTGAAGTCACAGGAAAATACTCCCACTAAGGTTAAAAGTTACCAAAGGGTTCTATTGTTTGATATATAATAATTTTATTAAATGTGACCTAGCTGATTTTATTCTGTACTTTTTTGAGATTATGAGTTTCATTGTCTCCAACTGGATTTGTCTTTGGAAGCAAAGGCCAAGCAAACACTTTATCTGGAGTTCATTTATCACTGGAAAGTATAAATGTCAAAGTGAATTAGAGGAAATTAGGACCTATTCCCATAGGAAAATATGTCCATATTTGAAATATCACACTTCCAGAAACTGATGTTCTGCTCTCCGTTAATTTTGACTTCTAGTGACATTAGGAAAAATAATGTTTCCTAATGAGCATATTATATATCTGTGATATCTATATATATAAAAGGCTAAGCAACTATCTGACCATCCAACTGGTATCTATGATGCACAATGACCATCAGGGGCAGACGCTCAATGCAGGAGCTGCCGAACCATGGTGACTTGGTAGCAGTGGTTCTTGGGTGACACACCCTGGAACCAGAGAAGAGGGAGCCTCATTCAAGGGCATCACCCAAGAACTGCCCTCTCACAATCCAGGAGGGATATCAGAGAGCCGGTTTTGGCCTGATCCCCATAGGCCATGCCCAGGAACCCCACCTGCTGGAGGGACCTTGCTCACTCTGCAGATGTCCTTTGAGCCTCAGCACTGCCCTAGGAGCGGCCAGCCAGGGAGGGACTGTGGGAGGTTGACTCCAGGGCATGTCCAGCCTGTCTTGCCAGTCCTGCCTGCCAGCCATCTTCTAATAAATATCCTTTCAATGTGCATGAATCCATTTACCAGGGCACTAGTATCACACAATGCTCTAGTATAGTGGTCAGCAAACTCATCAGTCAACAGAGCGGAAAATCACGGCTTGTGAGTCACATGTGGCTCATGAGCCGCAGTTTGCCGACCACTGCTCTAATATAATGAGTTATATTTTAGGAAAGTTATTTCTTTATTTTTCATAAATTAAAGGGGTATTTTTATCTTATTTATTTTTATTTATTCAATTTATTGGGGTGACATTGGTTAATTGGTTTAATGCTTTCTAATGAACATATTCTCAACAATATTGATAAAAACACTATTGATGTTGTTTCCTTTATGTTGATAGAAATATTTAAAAACCCAAGAAATGTATAAAATCACTGTATATAAACACTGAGAGGCCAGATTATTATGATCTCTGAGTGCATAATAATCTGGCCACTCAATGTGTGTGTGTGTGTGTGTGTGTGTGTGTATAAGGCTAATATGCAAATTGTTCCCTGGACGAGGAGTTTGACCAGCAGGCAGGCCGGCCAACCGCCCACATCTTCTCCCCTTAGCCAGGCTGGCCAGTCCCTACCCATGCACAAATTCATGCACCGGAGATATATATATATATATATATATATATATATATATATATATGCAATATTTTATCTTATTTCTAATGATGCAAAATACAATATAAAAACCAACAACAGAATTGAAGTAGTTGCTTGATTATGTTTTTAATTTTCTTTAACATTTCCAAAACACTGGACTTAAAATTATACTAAAACAAAAGTTTTAATCCACATGGAATACATTCAATATAAATATAACTTCATTCCAATTCATTAACTGCTACAGCAAATGTGATGGCAAATGAAATGTATATCAGAGGTGTGAACCAAAATTATGAAACTTTGCCAAATAGACACACATGTAAAACATGGAGCTTTAGTTGCTTTATTTTTGGGTAGTGACATTTTAATGTTACATAAAAATGCAACAATTAATGTCTACTTTAAAGTACGCGTGTTGGCGTGTCTGTCATTTCATGGCAGTTCTGTTTCTTTCAGACTCCGGGGATTCTGACCAAAACGCAGGCCTTCTCTCCTGCTGAGTTTATGAGGAACTTCGACTTCAGAAAGTGGCAATGAGGTTGCTATGGAAACTGGTAATTCTGCTGCCACTCATCAATGCTTGCACAGGTAGCATGTTCTATTGCTATAAAACTTGATTGATAATCTATTGGCATTTCAATTTTTTTTTCAATAAGTGACACAGTTTTCAAATGTGTAACACATTATTTGAAAGACTAAGTGATAAGACGGTGAAGTGAATCTCTGTGGCTAATCCAGGGAGTTTAATAATATGAAGTGCTATTTTTTAAACAGAACTAAGGTTATTTTAATTATAAATGGTCAAATATTAAATTTTTATAGAAAAGAACTACCCCTGCCAAGTCACTTTTGTGATTAAATAATTTTGTAATTTCCCTTATACTGAATTCTTTCAGAAGTTAAAATTGACGTATATATTTAGAATTTGGTGTGGTGAAAAAAAAGCTATGTTTACATGGAAGGAACAGTGACATAGAATGTTATATCAGAACTAAATTAACTTTTGAAATTTTTCTATTTCTATTAGCTTGATTTGTCCAAGCTAAAAATGTCTGTGTATCAGTTAGCTTTTGCTTTGTAACAAATCAACCCAAATCTGCATGGATAAAAAGAACAAATAACCATGTATTTAGTTTACAAGTCTGTAGAGTGACGATTTAAAATGGGCTCAGTGGCCAAAGCCAGTTTGGCTCAGTGGATAGAGCATTGGTCTGTGGACTGAAAGGTCCCAAGTTCGATTCCGGTCAAGGGCATGTACATTGGTTGCGGGCATATCCCCGGTAGGGGATGTGCAAGAGGCAGCTGGTCCATTTTTCTCTCTCATCGACATTTCTAGCTCTCTATCTCTCTCCCTTCCTCTCTGTAAAAAATCAATAAAATATATTAAAAAAATAAAATTAAAAATAAATAAAATGGGCTCAACGGGGCTGTGCTTTTGGTTTTGCTGGGGCGCATTGCTTCTGTAGTCAGTGACTGGGTCATCCTGGGCCTGGCTAGTCTAGGACATTCTCAGCTGAGACACCTGTGCTGCCACCACCCTGGTCCCAGCGTCCCCATCCTCTGTGAGACCTCACTCCTTCACATGGTGCATCTCGGGGTTCCAACTGAATGCAGACATGTGCAAAGTCTCCTGATGTCAAGCCTTGTAACTGAGGCAGTGTTGCTGCTGCTGCCTTCTCCTAGTGACTAGGACCTAGTGAAAGGCACAGGGCCATTCCGGCTTCACGGATTGGGACGTAGGTCCCATCCCTTGACAGAAACTGCAAAGTGGTACTGCAGAGGGGGCACGGGAACAGTAAAGGGAGTGGCAGTGTCTTCCTTGGTCACAAACCAGCCACAGTCTGTGAAGATCATAGCCTGCTGTTCTCAGTTTTCTTACCTGCATGAGCTGTCACGAAGTGTGGGCATGGACTGGGTCCTCTGAATGTCAGAACAGCCCTCTTCCTACGGGCCAGCTGGGCCCTGGGTGCTTCCCATCAGCTGGGCCCTGGGCACTTCTCACAAGCTGGGCCCTGGCACTTGCCACCATCTGGACCCTGGGCCCTGTTGATTTCCATCCTATATAATATTGTAAAATCCTAATATGCAAATAGACCAGACAGCAGAACAACCAATGGGACAACTGGTTGCTATGATTGTACACTGACCACCACAGGACAGACACTCAATGCAGGAGCTACCCCTTGGTGGCCAGAAGCCAGGATCACGGTGAGTGCAGCAGTGGTGGCAGAGCCACTTCTGTCCCTATGGCTGTGCTAAAGAGCAGCAAGCTGAGCCATAAGGAGCAAGTGCACAGGCAGGCAGTGAGGAGTGAGGAGTCCTGGATTGTGAGAGGAGTGTCCCTAAGCGCTCTTGGACTGTGAGAGGGAGCAGGCTGGGCTAAGGGGCAGCAACCCCTCCCCCCGCTAGTGCATGAATTTTGTGCACTGGGCCTCTAATGTATCTATAACAGGATAGTAATAGTTTTGGAGAAACCCAGGAGCAAACAATCACTAATAGACCAGGAGCACAGTAATTGTAAGAGCCAATCTACTGAACAGCATTTCCAAGAAGTGGAAAGATATACTGATCTTAAAAGCTATGGAAATGCTAACATATGTAGAAATCAATCATTGGATTCAGAAAACCTTACAAATAAAGATATTCTCTACCACTGAGAACCCAGTGGCCAGGAGGGCTACAGTCCTATTTACCCAGAGTTATTCTGTCACTTCCAACGCTGCAGCAAAGAATCAAAGTAAAAAAAATAATAATAATGGCCCCTTTTTATTAATTGATTTAAAGAGAGTCGCCAATTGTCCATGTGTGAATAAGAATTCTATTCCTACACTGTAAAAATTTATCGAGTTGCCCTTTAAATGTGTATAATTGAATCAGCATAGAATCTCTAAAAGACCTTTTGTGTTTAATTAAAATATGCTGTCCTCAGAACACATATTAGATCTGAGACATTCTCCAGTTCTTTTGTTAATTTTTATTTATTCAAATAGAATGTGATTCAACGCGTCCTTTTGCTTTATTCTAAAGGGGAAAAAATAATCGTATATCCTTGGTGTATAATTTCCTTGTAAGCGTGCAGGTAGGGCCCTCTTTTTAAAGCCACAGCTATTTGAATAAGATCTTCTCAGCTGCCCACTGCTCCGAGGTGAGGAAAACGGCGACGGACACAAAGTGAATCCCTATACATCTGTTTGTTGAGTTAGAGAGTTCCGGGCCGGCTCCCTACATGCAGTTACTACATTAGTTTATAAAATCACATGAATTTATTGTCCGATGATAATATCCTACTTCTATGCAAATGTATTATCTTTGATTTCCCCAAACATACTTTTTATTCATTCTAAAAGGCTGAGTCTTTTCGCTATTGTGCTTTTTCCTTCCTCTTTTCCCTTCTCTCATCTTCAAAACGTTGACGTTTTCAATCTGCCCGCGCTCTAAATCGCCACTTCAAATGTTACTCCCAGCCGCGCTGCCCGTTTAAATTTTTTAAATGAATTTACAACTGCTCTAGCACTTTTACTACAGACCCTGGCCTTGGAGCCTTGACTCAGAATCTTAATCATCGGAGCATATGATTCTGGGACATTTTTCAAATGATCAGTGTTTAAAAGTCTCATTGTTTTAGTTTGGCATTTTTAGACAATTAGAAGAAAACCAAGGCTCATATTACTAAGAAGCTTTATTGTGAATAATATACTTTTTAATTAGTTCATGAGTGTGTGTGATAGGCTGGCATCGCCCCCCAAAATATCCAGCTCCTAAACTCTGGGGCCTGTGAATTTTACCTTAAACAGCAGCATAGGGTAGACAGAGCTGATGATGCTAGAGGCCATGGGCTGGGTGGGTTGCCCGGGACTTCTGGCTGCGAACTTTACAGAGGGAGGTGGGTAGAGGCTGGCAGAGGCCGTGTGAATCCAGGCCAACAGGGACATGGAGAGGTCAGGCTGCTGACCCTCATGTGGAGGAAGGCACCCTGAGCTGGGAGTGTGTGTGTGTATGTGGGGGGGGGGTGGGCGGAAGCTATCAATAGATGGTGGACCAGGCAGGGGAACAGGTGCATCCGCTCTGCACCGCCCTGCACCTGGAGCCCCCAGCCCTGGGGAGAGCGTGGTTCCCGCCTGGGAAACCCCTTTTGGGCTTCGGACCGACTTAACTGTGAGCAAATACATGCGTGTTGTTTTAAACCACCGAGTTGTGGTCATTTTACGGAAGCCATGGGAACTAACGCACTGTGTTTCCTCCTCGCTGAAAAATACGCCAGGAGGGGGCATGTTTCTCCCCGTGCCGGAATTACAGACACTTGCTGAATGAATGAGTGAGTGAATGAATGAGGCTCAGTGTTGTTGGTCTCAGGTGGAGTCTCGTCAGCGAGAGCACAATCAGTCATGTTAAGTTCTTCTGAGGAGGAATGGATGCCGCCTGCCCTACGCCACTGCCGGGTTATGGGGTGACGGTTTCAGAGACGGGGCTGTGGTGATATTTAAGTTTCGAGCGAGGCCCATTTGGACGTAAACTGCACGAGGACAGGGATTTCCTCCTGCGGGACTCGCTGTTGCTTCTCCATCACCCAGCAGAGGGGCTGTACATGTTTGCCAAATAAATGAGAGAGAGCAGTGCCCTCAGGTCAGCAGGTGAGTTTCAGAACTTCCGACGGGCCAGGCACCAAGCTAGATGTTCGCCTGCAACCATGCGGGGCCTTGGTCCCTTCCCTCTTTATCTCACAGCCTCTACACAGCAACCAGTAGGAGACAGAGAGCCCTAGCCGTGTGCATCGGGTCCTTGGGAGCTGTCCCATGTTGCACGGAGGTCGCAGGTTCGATTCCCAGTCGGGCCACACGCCCGGATGGCAGGCTCAGTCTCCAGTGCGGGGCGTGCAGGAGGCAGCTGATCCATATTTCTCTCTTACACTGATGTTTCTCTCGCTCTCCCTCACCCTTCCTCTTTCTCTAAGAAAAATCAATCTAAATATATTTAATAGAATAATTGCAACAGAGAAATAAATCCAAGTTGCTGCTTGAGTAGCAAGCAGGGAGCACGTGACATCTGCTGTGTTGTCAGCCACCCTCTTCTGGGAAGAATCTTCAATGTGATTGGGGAGCCACTCTTTCCCGTCAGGCTTTGCGGCTCCTGTGGGTGGACCGACCTCATGGGTCAGCCAGCTGACATGTGACGACCTCCCCCCTCCCCCCCGCCAACCACCACACTGACGGGTTCCCGATGTGTTCTATCTGGGCAGATACTTGGGGACTTTGCTAAAACGAAATGACAAAGAGGCACCCCCGGGTGCTGTCCCGGGGAGCGGGAGGCGGTACCCAGGGCCAGAGCGGGGAGGCGGCCTGAAGGGGGAATTCACGCGGGAGCGAGGGGAGGCACCGTTCCTGACTTGACCTTGGGGACTTTAAGTGACCCAAGCCCACCGGGTAGCCGGGTCCCCTGGAGGCCAATGTCAGCTGAGACGCTGTCCCTCGTGGTGGAAGAATCCGGTCTTCTACAGATCCGAACGTTTGTTGATGCAGATTTTGGAAGATGCTGAGGTTGAGTTAAAATAGAAACTGGGATCAGCATTTCCTCTCCGCTGGGAATGGGAA